GTAATATATTATGTATATATTATCTATATAATATGGAAAATTTGACATTAATGGTGTTGGGTAGCAGTACGGTGCCACTAACAGGACATGGTGGTGGAAAAAAATTCGGGGTGGGAGGAAAAATTATTTTTACAATTTTTTGCGTTCCATCGCAAAACTTTTGCACTCTCTTGCACAGATATTTGCGTTTCCTCGCAAAACTTTTGCGTTACCTCGCAAAGATATTTGCGTTCTCTCACAAATTCAGTTGAGTTCGGACAAACACTTCCTGTTTACTTTACAGCTTGCCATACATTCACAATGTAGTGGTTCATAGAGTTTTATTTTTGAGTTTGGACTCAACGATAAAGAAATACAGTCAGTGCTTATACTTCAAGGCATGGTTTTGGGAAATTCTAAAATATCTTTTTTAGAGGGAACGCAAATAAGTTTTGCGAGAGAATGCAAAAAAATTTGAAAAAACATTTTATCTCCCACCCCGAATTTTTTCCACCCACCCCTAATTTTTTTCACCACCATGTCTCTTTAGGGGCTACGTATAGCAGAGAAGCACTGAAGAAAAAGTCATAAGAGTGTGGAATTAAAATAAAAAGTATGGGAATAAAAAAAGACAAGTAACAGTGAAAGTCTCTAAGAAAATAGAGTAAAATAGTTTTTTTCTAAGTATTTTTTTTTTTGTACTTTAAAATGTTATTTAAATTAAATGTATATTTTATTTTATTTAAAATGTTCATATTTTAGTGTCATGATTTTAATGTCATGTGTGGGCAACAGTGCTCCATTTATACATGATTCCCAGCCTTGGCTCATGGAAGATGTGCTTCACCTGAGCATTATACATCACTCTGCAATACTACACATCATTTCTCATTCTCTTTGGACAGGTGAGCAGGTTGGCCCCTGTTTATCTAGCCATGTCTCTTTGTCCTGACAGGAGCCCCTCAGCACGAACCTGCCCCTTCCTGCTGCGCAACTGGCCGACAGAGACGGAGAAGTCGGTGGCCGTGAGAACCGTGTATGATCGTTGTCCGGTGCTTCCGAAAGAGGCCAGTCTGGCCCCCTTGGTGCACTGTGACTCAACAGAGGGCACCAAAGCCTCTCTTCCTCTCCCTTTCAACTAATTAGCTCAGCTGGAGAGAGAAGCAGGGTGCTCCAGAAAAAAAGAGAGAAAGAACGAGGGTAAAAAAAGGAAACAGATGACCTCCTCCAGTTGAAGCAGCCTTCGAAATAGCTGACCCACTTGTAGACACACTTTCGGATATTTGCGTGTCCTCAATGCAGTAACCCATATAGCGGTGTAGTCTACATACTGTAGGGCAGGGTGGAAATGCAGAACTCATCTCTGGCTGAGAGGAGGGGAGGGGAAAGAATGATGGTGTGCATCGCGTTCAGAAAGCCTGAGGGTCTCGTGCTCGTGCATGTGCAGTTCCTCTCCGCGCTCATCCATTGCCGGCACATCTGAGGTAGACAGGAAGAAGATTCTCCCACATCCTCCCACGCGAACATTTCCACGCTGGCTGTTTTTGGCACCGCAGCAAAAAAAGACGCCGGCTTACTGCGAAAATGTCGCTTATCTAATGCCACAGCGCCATAATGAGCACTCTTTCTAATATTTCAGCTTTTTTACAGCACTTTTCATCAACGCCGTGGCCTGATGGAGCAGCGACGCATTAGCGCCACGATAGCAGTGGAATGGATTGTCAAGCAATTTGAAAAAGCCATCCGAATTCACATCACATACGCATATTAGCAGTAATACAAAGCACAAAGTCTGCAGAGATGTTAAATGCCAGACGGAAAATGGACCATGTCTCCACGGGAGTCCAACTGAAAGCTATTTCAGTGTAAAGGGACTAAAGGCACACTGATGCGGGCACTGCGAGGGCATGGGATATATGACAGAAATCTGTAAAGAAAATCTCAATCATTCTTCTTAACCATCAGTGAGAGATAATATGCCCATCACAAATGCTGAAAATCCACAAACAGATTTATAACTAGAAGGACATCTCTCAAAAATGTGCAAATAGCTTTTAATCAAACTATCAAACATAATTTGGTCTTCATTTGAGTAAGTGTTGCAAAAGAAAGAGAGAAGACGATTTAAAGGCTGGATTTGTCTCTGATGCTTTAATATCTGTTGCATTAATCTCTGTTAATGAGTCATTTAAAGTCTGAAGCACATGAACACCGTTTGCTGACTCACTGCAATATAACATCATCATTTGTTGTGTGTGAGCCATTAAAAAGCCGCCTGTGGGAACGAGAAAGCACCTAGCTTTCGACCAAAATTCATAATAAAACAAATAAAAAGGAGGATGGGAATTATTGATTGAACGGGTGCGAGGAAAGGAGGGCAGTCAAACTATCGAGAGGGCAGCGGACAAAAGGGTTAGCAAAAGTGTTTGTTGAAATCAGAAACCACAATTTTGCTATATAGATTCCTTCTCAAATTGAAAATCAACTTTCAGTGCCCTTTACCATTAAAAGTCAGTGAAATAAAAAAGACAGATGTGGGGACCTGTATTCAATTAAAAAAAACAGACACAGCTCAATGACCTCAGAACATTAGCAGCGTTGTCAGGAGCCTTCGTATGGTGCTTTAATGGCTACTCACCTCTGAGAGTAAGAAATCTGTCTGAGTGCTTTTGTCAGCTTTTTGGCAAAGAGATTTCAGAGCAGTGCGGGTGGATTCCTGTTAAAAAGACATATGTATCAGAAAAGGGTGGCATAGCATTAACACAAGTTTTATGACATAAAACAGTTTTCTGGAATATTTGATTCTGACTTGTCAATCTCAACATCTTGCGGTCATATACAATGATGTTTGATGTAATCATCATATAGCCATATAATGATGTATATTCATATACTGGCTAAACTGTATGGACTACAAGTGCCACTTAAAAATAAAAATGAGAACAAAATTTTCAAACAACATTTAAAACTGTAACAAGAGAATACACTGATCATTTATTTCTAAACATGACTTAAATAAGGCCCAACTAAAAATAATAAATATTTATAATAAATAATTATTACATTCTAATAAGATGTGTTTATCAGTCAATTTGAAAAGCAAACATTTATTGATTTTATTTTTAAATGGCGCTCCTAGTCCTCCATAAAACTGTACATGTGGATGAAACACACACATATATAGGGTCTTGATAATGACCCTCTGATTGTACATTCATATCGGCTATATGATCAGAAAAAATGTTGAGTCTTGACTTGGAATATCAAGCAGCCTTAATACCCCTCTCAAAAGCAGCAGAATGGCAGACTAATAAAACAAGAAATATGGTGCAGCAAAATTTAGGGCAGCCATACTTCATTAATGACATTCAATAAAGACAGTAAAAATTGACAAAGACGAGCCTAGCCAGCAGGCTGCCAGTTTCACCAGTGAGTATTATTTTACGAGCTTTTGCCATGATTTATTAAGCCATTGTGGCCGCAGGTTCTTTTCCCACTAAAAATAGAGCAGAGGTCTCTGGGCGAAAGAATCTCCAAAGCGATGATGTCAATGACCGACTCTTCTGTTGATTCCAATGTCGTCAGCAGGATGCCACATTATGCATTCGTGTTTACATGTGTTCAGTATGCATGCTTTACTGGAGATAAAACAATCACTGCAGTTCTCAGGTCGAAACCCACATCACATAGAGTTTGAGTCATTGGGATCTTATGGAACAGAGAAACTGCAGTGAGCACTGTGGTATTTACCAACAGACTGTTTTCTCAGAGAAAAAGACCTTCAGAGACGTGCTTAACACTATTGGGAGCACATTTCTGAATTCAGTTCTCGAAGAGAAGACCGATAAGGACAACATCAATTCAAACCTCTACAGACTGAGCGAAAGTCAAACTTGCAATCTTTTCATTGAATACATAGACAGCGATCAGCAAGTATGGAGAACGTTTAAACTAGTAATGCAGTGCTGCTGCTGAAGAATAAAAGCACATTCATTCACACAATCTCATGCTGCACCAAAGCATTCTGAAGTCATTAGTTTTCATTGAGAGTTGGCGATTTCTAGAGCTTGAATGTTGACTACAAATGGGAGTCATCGTAAGCATTGACAGGTTTTAGGTAAGACTTTGGGACATGGAATATGCTGTTATGATACTTTGAATGGTGAGTGGTGCTTTCAAAAATGTTTAAAAAGCATGTAAATACACGAAAAAGAGCAAGCAGGACGACATTCAAAATCTCATACTGTAAAGTGCATTTTTGGGTGAATCTTACCCACTAATTCCTCTTGTCCAATCAGAAGACACTAAGTGTTAAAAATTTGCAGCACCAAAGCATCCTGAAGTCATTAGTTTTCAATGAGAGTTTGCAGAGCTCGACTTTTTTGCAATGCGGTGACTACAAATGCGAGTCATTAAAACTGCGGTCAGGGCTTTGGGACACAGTATACAGCATATGTTGTACAAAATTCTGTTATCATACTTTTAAGATGCTTTTGCCACCTTTTTGAAGTTTGAAAGCATCAGTCACAATTTAGTGTAAATACATGAAAAAGACGACACTGATAATCTAATATGGATAAGTAAATAACAGTTTACATTTTGGGGGGAATCTTAGCCACTCTTTCTTTTTGTCCAATCAGAAGACACTATATGTGACCCTGGACCACAAAACCAGTCATAAAGGTAAAATTTTTGAAATTGAGATTTATACAACATCTGAAAAGCTGAATAAATAAGCTTTCCATTGATGTATGGTTTGTTAGGATATTTGGCTGATATACAATTAATTGAAAATCTGGAATCAGAGGGTGCAAAAAAAAAAATATATATATATATATTGAAAAAAATTGCCTTTAAAGTTGTCCAAATGAAGTTCTTAGCAATGCATATTACAAATCAAAACAGTGCCCTTTACCATTAAAAGTCAGTGAAATAAAAAAGACAGATGTGGGGACCTGTATTCAATTAAAAAAAACAGACATAGCTCAATGACCTCAGAACATTAGCAGCGTTGTCAGGAGCCTTCGTATGGTGCTTTAATGGCTACTCACCTCTGAGAGTAAGAAATCTGTCTGAGTGCTTTTGTCAGCTTTTTGGCAAAGAGATTTCAGAGCAGTGCGGGTGGATTCCTGTTAAAAAGACATATGTATCAGAAAAGGGTGGCATAGCATTAACACAAGTTTTATGACATAAAACAGTTTTCTGGAATATTTGATTCTGACTTGTCAATCTCAACATCTTGCGGTCATATACAATGATGTTTGATGTAATCATCATATAGCCATATAATGATGTATATTCATATATTGGCTAAACACAATGTGTTTTTGGCTATTGCTACAAATATATCTGTGCGACTTATGACTGGTTTTGTGGTCCAGGGTCATATATGTTAAAGATTTGCAGCACCAAAGCTTCCAGGAGTCATTCATTTTCAATGTGAGTTGGCGATTTACCAAGTTTTACTTTTTTGAGATGCATGGACTACAAATGGGAGTCATCAAAAGTGAGGCCTTTGGAACATGGAATATAGCATATGACTCTTATGAACGTTATAAGACTCATATGAGTATTATGATACTTATGATGCTTTTGCCACCTTTTAAAAAGAATCAGTGACCATTCAGTGTAAAAAATTGAAAAAAGCAACCAGGGAGACATTTAAAATCTCTTATAGGTAAGTAAAATTACACACTTTTCATTTTTGGGTGAATCTTAACCAATCATTCCTCTCGTCCAATCATAAGACTCTAAATGCTAGACATAAAAATCAGTCATGAATTGTATGAAACATCATGTGCTTTGTTTGTCTTTTTGCTTTTACAGCCTCTTTACTGCCCTCTATTGTTTTTATTTGTCCTACCCCCTCCTCCGTGCCTATCACGCCATCTCATCCCATCCCTCTTTTCAAGACCACAACTCTATAAATCTGAGATGGACCTGTCATATTTCTCCTTCACTCGTCTCTGCCCTAGCTGCCGGGACTGGGAACATTATGTGTCTCACAGTGCATGTAAAGCACACGACGAGAGCTGTTTACTGCACGTTAAGTGAGTCTATCAAATATCGTCCCAGTTCAAAGGAAACTGCCGAGCGGCATCTCCATAACTTCCTAACGCGAGCCTTAGGAGAGGGAAAGGACATGAAACCAACAGGATGTTAACTTGAACTGTCAAATAAATGCATGAAATTAGGGTATCTCAATGACAAAGGAGCAAAGGAACCTGTTTTTGCGATCGTAAGGGTTTCTGAAGGTGGTTATGAAACTTGCGGTTATGAAATGCTACATTGAACTCGTCGAGTTTTCTCACCAACTCAGCCTGAAGTTGTACAATGAGCTCGTCTTTCTCCTTCAGCTGCTGCTGCAGGAACTGGTTCTCTTCTCTCCCAGGATCCTGCACACAAAGCACACACAAATACGCTTTGAAAAAAAAAAAAAGTCAGTCTGCGTTATTCAAGCCATCGCCCCCAGTTTGAATCTGCAGCCTCGTGTGTGGGCGCAAAACTGCCGTGGTTGAGAGGTGGAGGTGTGCTTGGGGGGAGGCGTGGTCGGCGAACTGGAGTGTTGAACATCTGACGGGCTTGCCACATTAATGTCCAGTAGGCTTGCCATATGCGTGGCCAACGGGCTGGAGATAGCCCCGGCTGGCGGGCTTAACATAGGAACCGCCAGCGGGCTTGCCACATTAATGTCCGGTGGGCTTGCCATATGCGGGGCCGGCGAACTTGACTTGGCGCGGCTGGCAAGCTTAACATCTGGGCGGCCGGTAGGCTAGTCTTTGGCACGGCCAGCGGGCTGAGGTGAGCCGCAGCTGGCGGACATGACAACGGCACGGCCGGCACGCTTCACAGTCGGCGGATCTTCCATCCGCGGAGACAAATGGG